TATACATTAAATCGAAATTGACTCAAATTCAAAAACAAAATATTATGTTTTCCATTAAAATAATGTTTATAATAAGATTATATTAGTTTTTAAAACAGTTTGTTGATAGAGCTCGTGTGAACAAAAAATAAGTCAAAGCGGCCCCTAGTCCAAAAAAGGTTGTAAACCACTGCACCAAACGGATGCTGGCCAGACAAAAGCCATCCATCTACATCGTCCTGCGGATATCTCCGCTACCGAGTCAATCCATTGAGTGTTATCCGCTTCAGAGTTTTCACTTTCACCGTTTTCCGGTCTAACGACTCCAGACTTAGTAAAATTTTAGTGCTTCTAACACTTATATACAGCTATAGTGAAAAGAAAATGCAATTAGGTAACCGTCTGCCCGTATTAACGACTTCCGAGTTCGGCCATACTCATTTATTGCTGATGTTTATGTGTGTGTTTATAGACTTAACATGTGAGGCTAAATAATAAATACTGTTAATAATTAGAAAATGTTCAATTGGGGAATCCAAATCTGATAATATTACAAGTAAAAGTTATTTTACAGAATCGAAAAACATGTTTGATTGTTGTGCATGAAATACATCGAAAACATTGAGAAAGTGCTTTTAAGCAAGCATTGACAAAAACAGAGTTGTGCTTGTGCCATCTTACTTTATCTTTGACAAACGTTAAAAATCTGTCATACTCCGCACCGGTTATCGTTAACGTTACGGTTAAAATAAGGTGGTGCAACTCAGCCTTAGACATCTATAGGTAGAATATTTATACACTCTTTTTATACGGATCTAATTAATGCTAAGATTTGTAAATGTATCCATATTAAAGAATTAACAGTAATTCTTGTTCACTTTAAAATTCCACAGAGCAATGTGTTACACATACTTCACTAAGGTATACCAGTTTTGTCGCTATCAAATACGTAGGCGTTAGTAAGTGGCTCTAAAAAATTAGGCCCCTAAGAAAAAACATTTAAAAGAAAAATATCCGAGCAAAATATTCTTGAAATGCAATACTGAGCCGCAGCAAATGTGCATGTTAATTACTTATATCCTTTTCTAGTTAAAACGACATAATTATATACATACTACTCCATTCATACGGATTTGAACGTTCATTCAAGTATTTGTGAATAACCGACAAATGCTTAAGCAAACGGTTCAGAAATTTCCTCTAAAGGAAATTACATTACTAATAAGATCATTTCATGAGTAAGAACCTTCAAGCATCTATGGATACTTATTTATTATAAAATATCGAAGTTAAACTGATTCGACTAAATCAGCTGAATGAGATCAACGATCGATATGTACACCTCAGTGAGCGTAATAAGGCAGAAAAGTTCAGCCGGCTACATTAAAAGCATTGTGATTAAATTGTAAGCTTACTCAAACTTAACATTAAACAGTTTTGATGTTATGAAATTACCGAATTAACTTTACATTGAATATGTTTATGCAGACGGCCTCCATTCAAATCATTTATTATCATTAAAACCAGTATCCTTAAACGCAAAAACTGTTCAGTTAAAACAATATTTGATAGAGAAAAATATGCAATACTTCACGCATTCTCTAGGTACAAACTTACGTCAACCTATATCACAAGCAAAGGGTAGTGTCAAAATCGCAATTTGTATTTTTAATGTAATAATTTTCGTACTTACCCTCGTGATAATAGATACCCTAGTAGGATTAATGTATTGAAGAGCTGTTTTGATAGCTTTTTAAAGAATCGAAGCTCAATTTGGCCAAGAAGGCAAAACCATAACTCACTACCTACAAGTTACAACTGATTTTAATGAAATCATTGTCTTAAATGATTGATAAGCTCTTCTCATTGTTCAATGCAAAAATGCAACCCGACCTTCAACTAATGAATTTTGATTACGCCTAATTGACTGTATCGGTAATCATTTAAAACACGACCTTTTGATAGTATCCTTTCTTAAACGCCCACTTTGGGCAGAAACAATCAATCAGTAAAATGACGCCTCAATAACGCCACCATGATAATAGAATATGATATAGAGTTTTGCTGTTAATGTCAATTTAAGCTTGGGCCTAAAGAACGGAATACGAACCTCCTCCTGTCACTCTCATCTGAGGGCGTAGTGTGAGTTTACTCTTTTCACTAGTAAGCGCGTTAAAAAAACATATGAAAAATTTTGTTCTTGCCGCTAGGGCGCGCTGTACAATCCGTCATACATACATTTATTGACATTTGTTTATAGTTCCAAAATACTGGACTGTCCTGTCGATGACATTGACAGTGGGGCGCCACCGTCAATACCGGATCGCTGGTTCAGATTTTTGCCATGTTGGAAACCATATAGTTGAACGATGGTAGCGCCCCCCTGTCATTGAGTTTGGCGGGACAGTTCAGCGTGGGTCATCTATACGTGCTCACTAGTGACGACGTTTGACGTAAACTCACACTAAGCCCTCTAGTCAATGAGATACCTTGTTAGAACAGCGTCATCGTCTTCAAAGGAAGAAGAAAAGGAGGCAGTACAAACGAAAAATTAGAAGACACTAGTAGTAATAAATTAGCACTAGAATCATCAATGAAAATAAACTCAATTCACCAACACATTTAGCGGTCAAGATAAACGTTTTCGGTTGTTATTTATAGTAAACGGCGTAAAATATCGTTAATCAAAAAGGTAATCTTGATACAATCGCCGAAATAAACGTATAATTTTCACGTGCAAATGTAGACACGTGAAGAGCGATTAAAATCAAGACGAGACGTAGCGTGGTTTAGTATGGCCACGACGAATCGCAAACAGCTAAATTGAATGCCAGCACGATTTAATTGAACATGCATCAATGCATGTAATGTATCTAGCCCCTAAAAGAAAAAGTTTTTATTCTAATAACTTTGAGTCACTGGCCAGTGTTATGTTTAAAACTCTACTAATCGAAAAATTTTTATCGTTCTGTTGTCTTACCAACGAATAATACAATTTAATAAAGTTAAATGCGTTGCGTTTGCGTTTAAATTCATAGTACGGCACTAAAGTCCTTTATAATTAGCTACAAATCACTATTTATAACTCTAGAAGTATTATGAAATGGAGGAAATTGTTCATCTCGTGCGCTATATAAAGCGGCAAAAAATGCCATCTACCACGCATGCATTGTCTAACGTAAGAGCTTTTCCTATTACAAATTCGTCACAACGATTTTTTACGTAATTACACATCATTGTTGCGCGTTATGTTGCACATAAAATCGCTTCTCAGTCATTCTAAAATCAGGAAGAAACTTTCTTTGGGCGATTACTAAAACCACATGGCAACCGCGGTTGCCGCTGCAACTATCGCTAATTTGTAATCTATGGTCTGGCTGCAATTTATCGCGGTTGATCTAATAAATTACTCATAAACTAGCCCTAAGGTAGCCAAGTGGGGCAGTAGGCGGAATATTTAAAGGAGATAATGCTTGGGCTTGGGATATTTATGGAGCCTAATTTAAAGCCTTGAGCGATTATGGTAACTGTTGTATTGACATAATCGGGGTACGTGACTAATATAAGGAAACAAAACAAAATATTTGAAACTTTGAAACGGTGACTACTTGCCCCTCGATTTCATGGAAACTGCTTAGATAGAATAGGAAAAATTCCCAAATTAATGAGTTAGCATATTTTAACAAAAAGATATTTTTCCAACGTGAGGTGTGTTGTACTATTTTATTTAATAATAACCTGCTTTGAAATGTGCTGCTTTAAATTAGTAACTAAAGTCAAAGGTTTAATATAGAGTGACGTAATCAAAATCGTGAATTTCGATCGGGCGATATCGAGGCATTTAACGTTAAGGAAATAAAAGCACACTCGAGCCAAGGTTTGTCCAAAACTGTAACGATATCGGACAATCGTTCGATGCAAATTGTGCAACTGTAACTGTATCGAAATGTAATACAGGGTAGGTGATTATAACTGGATGCATAATGGTCAATTAATGTTCTATGGTGAACAGTAACAAGGAAGTAAAAGTCCTTAATTTAATGAAGTCCCCTGCTGGCCATGTTGCGGAATAGTCGTGATGACATGAACTGTGGCATGTTTAGACATAGTTAACGAGAGCAACCAGATCATGGCGAAAAGTTCTACTCATTTGTTACACTCTTGACAAAGTGGTCATGGTCGTCATGACTTATGATTTGCAGAGAGTCTCACGTCACAATATATCGCCATAACTGTCAGATTGTCAGTAAATTAATTAACTAGAACCAAATCGCAAAATTTTATTTCACTGCCTTGAAAAATACTCGTATTAGAAATATCTTCCGTACTACCTGAAAAGTCCAAAAAATATAAGTTTGCAAAGGCGTCTAGAATGAAAAATAACTAGGTGAGAATCGTTTCACCTTTTGTAATTGTTAGTTTTTGTGTAGTGTGCAATGTTTTTGTTTTGGAAATGTAACTTACTCATTGTTTTGACAAAAAAAAACAACCTGTATTATTGCGCCAGCCACTACCGATATCTTATCGTAATCCAAAGATAAGTAAAGTGTTTTAGATTGTTTACTTGTTTTGTTTATTGTTTGTTTTCGTCAGGCTAGACTGTGCGACTCGTAGGGAATTCACATTAGCGCACCTGTCGAGGCTTTATCTAATGGACTTATCACCGTGCATTGCGGCTGACAAATGCCTTGAGAAAACGCCGCGATCGCAGATAGGGCTTCGAGCGGATCGCTGTTTACACAGCACTGTTGCCTAATAAATCACATAACATTATACGACTGTAAATATAAAGTTTATATATGGATGGACGTTGATTTCAATCCCATTTACGTGTTTTAATTCGCTTCGGTATTACATGATCTTTATTTAGACTTCGTCAAAAATCACAACTATGTTTGAAAACTTTAAATAACAAACAAGCTAAAGATTACAAAAATAAAGAACTTGAGTAATTACGATTGCATAAATAAAGAAATCATACATTACATGTTAATAACGTTTTGTTTTTCTTTCTTCCACAGAAGCCCTGAGCACTGCCGATGACCAGTCAACCTCAGCATCATGGTGGCAAGCAGGAACAGCGACTCCATTCAGAGACAGCTCGAACACCTTCTCCTCAACCCACGGCTTGGTCCAGACACACCCGGGTATCAATGACCCCTTCGGGTCTTTCGGAAGCATTGGAAGCACTATCGGGCCGTCTTCCAACCCGTTCGCCCAAGCTAGCGGCAGCGGTCCGCTCAGTGGGGGAATCAGGAACAACCCACTCCCTCCTCTGGCGAGAAATGTCAATGGAAAGACCACTCTGAAACATCTGGACTTCACCAGCAGTGCCACAGCTGAGTTGAGGAGGAACCCAGCGTTGTCTGCTCCTGATGAGTGCGCGAGAGCTTGCCGAGAGAACGAGCCCCCAAGGATCTGTTACTACCACTTCACTCTTGAGCTCTACACCGTTTTGGGAGCGTAAGTATTATTGTCTTGCTATTCATCATCATCATCATCTCAGCCATAGGATGTCCACTGCTGAACATAGGCCTCCCCCAATGCTTTCCATGTTGCCCGATTGGTAGCGGCGTTGTTGTCACCATTTATGATTTCATCATGATTACTGAGTACAATTTCATTCAGTATAAATCTTTTACTATCTAACTACATGCCACTAAAACAAATCTAATCCTTGTCTGATAACCGTAAAATTCATGATGGCTAGTTGGTTTAATTAAGTGCATATCTGTCATCTAACTTCAGGAAGTTATATTAATCATACAACAAAATAATAAAGTCTTAAACGCTGAAAGTAATTCATTCACTTACACAATATGAATACATTATGGTTCCAAACATTGCCTATGTGTATTCGAAAAGCATTAATTTACACTTATATAATTGCATTTATATAAAACGCATTCTAGGTATGTTTTTGATGGTTATAATATTTTAATTGCATCATAAATATTAAGTTGCTAATTAAAACAACTCTTAATTTATGAGCGAACAATAATTACCACACTGTTATATCAAAACTTCGATTTAGTGAACTAAATCATTCCGGGAACTCTAAGTTATTTACGAAAACCTCATTTCCATTGTAACACCAAATCCAGCTAGACTAATCTACATATGTATTACATAAAACCAATAGAAAATCAATCTGTAATTCCAACCGCATTGTACACACCGAATTATATTAGCTACCTTTCAAGATCAAAACAGTTAAACTGGAAACAATTCCATTGAATTTAATAATAGCAAGAGCAACATTCACATTCACAATGGGAACGTTCCGACTTATCGCACAAAATCTTTTAAAACCTTAAGTAATTCCTTACCTAACTATTCGCGTAATCAAGTCATCTGTATCACGATGCCCATATTCTACGATTTTCGGGGCTCACGGAAAGTCGTGCTAGGAAAAGAACGACCTACAGACCGACTTTTTCACTTTGCACATTTTACGCTTTACTTCACACGGCCTGCTAAATGCATAGGTTTCAATGCCGAACTCGAATGTACGTGGAATGAACCAAATTCCGCTGAAGCACGTAATTGATAGGTGACGACAGACCTTATGCAAACATTGGTGTTTCATGATAGTATAGACTGAAGAAACTGTGGTGTAACCACAACCATACAAAATTGATAAGGGAAACTACTTTCAAACTTATGTCACAGTTGCAGCTAGCCCTCAGTTTCTCGGTAGACGATAAAATTGCACCGCCTTATCTTTTACCATTGACTTTTTGATTGGCTGATTGGTGACCCAGTTGTCAAGAAGTTAAATAACCTAAATGCGTTTTCAATCATCCTTTTTCATATTATTTCAGGGCCTGTCAAGTGTGCACTCCAAATGCAACCAACGTCGTGTGGTCCCACTGCCAGTGCGTATTGGCCGATGGAGTCGAGCGTGGTATCCTCACCGCCAACAGAATGTTGCCTGGACCTTCCATCCAAGTTTGTGAGAACGACAAAGTGGTCATCGACGTAGAAAACCACATGGAGGGTATGGAAGTCACCATTCACTGGCACGGTATCACTCAGAGGGGATCCCAATACTACGACGGTGTACCTTTCGTTACCCAGTGTCCAATTCAACAAGGAAACACTTTCAGGTTCGTACACCACCACATTGCATTTTTCAAATTCAATATAAAGTAGCGGTTAATCATATCAGGAATGTAATGTTTGAATTTCTCTGATTACAGATACCAATGGCAAGGTAACGCTGGTACACACTTCTGGCACGCGCACACAGGTCTTCAAAAACTTGACGGTTTATACGGTAGCATCGTCGTCCGTCAGCCCCCATCCAAGGACCCCAACAGCCACTTGTACGACTACGATCTGACCACCCACGTCATGCTGATCAGTGACTGGCTCCACGAAGATGCTGCTGAGAGGTACCCGGGCCGTCTGGCCGTCAACACCGGACAGGACCCCGAGTCTGTGCTGGTCAACGGCAAAGGACAGTTCCGAGACCCCAACACTGGATTCATGACCAACACACCTCTTGAAGTGTTCACCATCACCCCTGGAAGGAGATACAGATTCAGAATGATCAACGCCTTCGCATCTGTGTGCCCAGCTCAAGTCACGTTCGAAGGCCACAACCTCACTGTAATAGCTACTGACGGTGAACCAGTATCCCCAGTTCAGGTCAACACAATCATCTCATTCTCAGGTGAGTTGTTTAGTTTATTTATTCAATTATTAATGTTTATCTTCTTGTTAGGCAATAATGAAGCAAATGAAGTTAATATTACTACCAATTTCCCTCCCCACGACGTTTTTATAATTACTTTTAGAACATTAATGATTTGCATTGCAAGAAATTTAAGTCGTTATCTTTGTTACGTTACAGGTGAACGTTACGACTTCGTTATCGAGGCCAACAACATTCCTGGAGCATATTGGATCCAAGTGCGCGGTTTGGGAGAGTGTGGTGTCAAGAGGGCCCAACAGCTGGCCATCCTTAGGTACGCCAGGGGACCCTACCAACCGTCGACGCAAGCACCGACCTACGACGTCGGCATTCCACAGGGAGTAGTAAGTGCTTTTCAAATCTGTGTATATAAATCTTGTACCATATTCAAAAACAGACAGTTTAAATTAGATGCTGTATATACATGATCATCTTAGTTAAGAGCTAAGTAGGGGGTTACTTCCACATATTTAGAGGGGCTACCGTGAATTAGCTAAACGCAAAACTAAGGACAGTAGTTGGTTATTAATTGGCGGATATTGCAGACTGGATTCTTGGTGCCGACACGACAACCTCGATAAAATCTACCGCGCTCGACTTTGTTGCAATTGCTTGCTCAAACTTAAGTACGAACGCCACGGCAAATACGAGTTTCGCAGTAATGACTTTATTACTTTAATTATTAAAACCAAAATTATTTACTCTAATTAAATTATTGAGTAACTGATCGAATTGAATCACGTGATCTCTAGTTAGAGCCGTTTGTAAATAGTATGTAATTTAAGACTTATTATCGCAATTATGTCTGTAGATTTGTTCATTATAAATAGCAATCTCGTGTTTTATTCAATTTTATATTTTCTGGAGCAATATTGAAAGACGGTGTAAATTACATATAATTTCAGACAGTTGAATCAAATGAACATGTATTATGAAAGCGTAAATTTCGTAAATGCCAAATAAACTGCAATATTTTCACTGTTTCGTAATCACGATCATAATAATATAGCAGTGCTCCTACTGCGTGTATTTAGAAAAGGTATCTGTACAAATACAAAATGCCTAGGTACAGATTATTGGCACAGTACCCAGTAGTTGATCAGTACCTACCAACACTGATGGAATATTAGTACCTAGTTGCCTTAAGTAGCGTAGTTGTAGAATATGCACGTAAATTAGTAATTGAGAATGTTACTAGGTATGCAAAATCACTTGAAACCTATGTTACAGTTAAGCTTTTACATATACAAATACATTTGTTTTTATTTCATTAAAAAATACCAAGTAGTTATGATTTTATAGGCATTCAAAGTTCGCTTAAATATCGAGACCCGCCGACGGTCACGTGACCCCGCGTGACGTACATTCACAGTGGCCGCTCACTAGAAAACGGATATAAACATACTTAAATACATTTTTTTTGGAAATACATACTTATTATACATATTAACACCCAGACCCATCACAGAAATTAAAATTGAACCAAACCCAAACTTGATGCGATTGTGTCGTTTTATTGCGAATTACCTTCCAGCTCCATCATCAGACCCTGATTACTATATAGAATTAAAGTACTCATCAATACAAAACTAACGAGCCCAAACTCGATGGATTTAAGTCGTTTTATCATAGAGTTCCTATGGCCACCTTCCAGCTCCATTATCAGATCAGCTCCACGTCTTCATAATATTGCATGGTCATCCAAATCGCATGTGTATGCGAAATTTCAGCTTAATCGGTTGCCCGGAAGTGGGTCTTAATTCAGCTTGCAAGATTCCACCCATACAAATATGAGCCAGTCGTTGTAATATGACGTCACGCGCATTAAATGGCGGGCCGGCCGCCGCCCGCACTTTTAAAATTCAATATCTTGGAAACTAATTGACGTATCGAAATAATTCTTTCACGTGTATTTTTTATTTTTAACGGAGAATACAGAAAGCTAAAAAACAAAATTAGTGAACATTCTTCATTGCACGTACCTTTCTCCCCACTAACTCTCCAGGTGATGAACCCACTGGACGCAAGGTGCAAAAACCCAAGAAACGACGCTATTTGCGTCAGCCAATTGAAGAACGCCAGGAACATAGACCCTGCCATTCTGCAAGAACGACCAGACGTTAAGATCTTCTTGCCTTTCCGATTCTTCGTATACAGGCCAGAGATGTTGTTCCAGCCCAACACTTACAACCGGTACTTAGGTAAGCTACTCAAACAACTTTTGCACCTTAATCGTTATATTGTAAATATCTATATTTGTATTAACACTTAAACCTGTTTTAACAGTGGCCCCGTCTGGCGATCATGTTATCAGTTTGATTGATGAAATATCCTACATGTCTCCTCCCGCACCGCTCCTCAGTCAGTACGACGACATTAACCCTGAACAGTTCTGTAACGGAGACAACCGACCGGCGGACTGTGGACAAAACTGCATGTGCACCCACAAAGTCGATATTCCCCTCAACGCTGTAGTCGAAATCGTACTCGTAGACGAAGGTAATACATTATCCAAGCTTCAAATCAAGTTTAATTATCTAATTAAAAATACGGACGTAAAAAATTAATTATGCTCCTTTCGCTTTCCAGTTCAAATTGCAAACTTATCTCATCCGTTCCACTTGCACGGATACTCATTCAACGTGATCGGTATCGGCCGGTCGCCTGACCAGAACGTGAAGAAAATCAACTTGAAGCACGCTCTTGACCTGGACAGGAGAGGTCTGCTCGAGCGTCACCTGAAGCAAGGGGACCTGCCTCCCGCGAAGGACACCATCGCCGTCCCCAACAACGGATACGTCATCGTTCGTTTCAGAGCCAACAACCCCGGCTTCTGGCTGCTCCACTGCCACTTCCTCTTCCACATCGTCATCGGCATGAGCCTCGTGCTCCAAGTCGGCACCCAAGCCGACATCCCTCCCGTCCCTCCCAACTTCCCCACTTGCGGAGATCACCTTCCTCCGATCTCGCTCAACTAATTAGGTTCCTAGAACATTTTTCAGTTCTGTATGTGCAAAAACAAGTACAGTAGTTGATTTATTATGTTAACTAAGTGTAAATTTATGTTTGTTTTGTGTGATGTGATCGGCGATATCGAAGTGCTCGATTTCGCCATTTGTGTTTATTTTATATTAGAATGATTCCNTTTAATTGCTCAATCAAGTCTTTGGCTGCCTTCAAATCTCTCAAAGCCAGTTGGAGTTGGGACTCCTCCCGGCGAGCGAAGGCTTTACGTGTAAGCATTGTTTCTTTTGGTAAATAAAAAAGTATTAAAATGTAAATGCCAAAGGATCAATTGATCAATAATTGGAGGTTAACAAAAATGTAGGTAAATATAACCTCTTACGCGGGTGACAGTACAGCTGTTATATTAGCCATAATATTCCATGGGAGTTAATGACGGTTTGTGATTTTATTTAACGATGATGATGCCTAATTCTTTGAGATTACTCAAATATCATTTAAATGCCATATACGGTGATATTTTTGTAATAATATTGATGATATCGCCTTTAATTCGCATAATGTCCTATGAGGCTCCTTGTATCGTTTCGTCTTCGCATACCGAAAGGTATTTTTCCACAGACTTTGTTCTGTAACTAACAACTTGCCATTAATATTTTTTCACCAAGGATATTTATTACGTGTATATATTTAAATCTTCCTTCTAACTGTCTAGATATTTAAGTTTGAACCTGATACTAACCCAATGCATGCTTCAAAATTTAGATAACTTAGTGAATGTAAATAACTGAATACTGCAATACATGTAAATACACGATAATGTAGTTTGACTACACCGCGACATTTTCCGTAACTTTTGAAGACTGTATATAACTATGTGTAGAGAATAGAATAATATCTCCAGATAATGTTACCACTCCAGGTTACCATTATAATTTAAGAACTAAGAATGTAATATTAATTCTACCAGTTATGATGATGCCTCTAACCTAATCTACAGAAACTTGTTCTATCATGAATTATTTAGTCCTAGTCTAAGAAAATGTCACATACTTTTTTAATCAGTCAATCGAACGTGTATAATAATTATCTAAACAAAGTATTGCTATGGCTGCTATTACGTTAGCAGTGAATAACAACATTTTTGATATGGTCAATATTTTAAGGACATTAAATTTTTTATACCATTCAATAAAATTTATATAATACACCGCTTTTTTATTTTTGATCTTTTCGAATAATTGTGTGCTATAAAAATTATTATGTTTACAGAAAAGATCAAATTTAGAAATCCTAAAGCGCTACATTGTACCTACCCTGTAGTTTTAGTCGTAGATGTTACATGTAAATATTTTTCACTTCAGTAGAAAAGTGCACTTAATTTGAATATACATAGTTGTGTATATTTCGAATAGTAATGTAGTGGTTTAATTGATTCCGTATTTTAGCATAAGGCTTAGTGTCGTGGTTCGTAGAAGAAAACCCTAGTAGCGGGTATCCATGAGATGCACAGGACACAGGTTGTATATTTTATTACTTTGGTTTGTATATAAACATTTTTATTGTAAGAAAAATTCATTTTTTCAATTTCTTGACTCTTTTTGCCATTTAAAAAAGTTTCATGTCATTTGTATTTCAAGTCACATTTAATTATTTTTTAAGATTTTGTTACTTCCAAAACTCGCGAAGAAAATTCTAATTTGCTACCCAACTTTTAGGTAATGAATCCACTTGACGCGATCTGCAATGTAAAGAGGAACGATGCGGTGTGCGTCAGCAACCTGAAGTCTGCCAAGCCTGTGGACAAGGCTATACTGCAAGAGAGGCCAGACGTAAAGATCTTCCTGCCCTTCCGATTCCACTTCTACAAGCCAAAAGACCTGTTCAAGGAAAACACTTACAGGAACTTCTTAGGTAAGTTGCAATCAGAAATAACTGCATTCTTCAGCAAGTGGTTTCTTTAAAGATACCTATGCGGTAGTGCGATTGCTTGAGAGATTAGCAATCGTTAAACACCTCGCGATAGTCGCGATAGTTAATTGAACGATTGCATTTAGATATTTTTCTAATTTTAGATAACGTCAAACAGTGACTTGTGAAAGTTCTAACTTATTAATACTTTTGATAACACATTCGTTTTCTAATCATGAGAAGTTTTGGATTTTGAAGCAATAAAGTATTGAGTATTGGAATTAAGGAATACCAGATTATAGAAACGAAAATGGTATTTTCACGACTGTAGAAAATTTTGTAAATCCAATTACATTACTTTTAAGTGAGCTGCCACACAGGCGGATTGCAAGCGTTTTCAAAGCGGAGAGGCGACGCAGCGAGCACGCCGCGGTTGCACAACGTTTCTGCCTAGAGTTTTCGCCTCGTTTTCGCCACGCAGCCGCTAGATCTCCGCCGCGGAGCCGCTCCACTTTGAAAATGCTTGTAACCCGCTAATGTGACAAGGCCCTAAGTGACTAATTACTAGAATTTGGAACAGTTCAACTAAAATTGTGTTTAACAACCATACATTTGTTACTAAAGCCCGGTCTGTGAGCACGTAGAATTTTGTCCAATGACCCCAAGCTACCCATCCTTATCGCTCGCGCGTAATTATATTGCTGTTGCGACTGTGGGACGGGCGCCCGCAGTGAGTGTGCGAGCGCGACAGTAGCTTGGGGTCATTGGACAAAATTCTACGTGCTCCCGGACCAGAGTATACTAAAAACCATACTCACATCACAATCCATCTCTTCCAGTTGCCCCCGGCGGCGACCACGTCCTCAGTCTAGTCGACGAGATCTCGTACAGCGCGCCCCCCGCGCCGCCCCTGTCCCAGATGCACGAACTGTCCCCGGAGTTGTTCTGCAACGGGGACAACCGTCCCGCCAACTGTCCCGTCGACTGCCGCTGCACGCACATGATCGACGTCCCGCTCAACTCGATTGTGGAAATCGTTCTTGTTGATGAAGGTATTTTACTTTTTTACTTTACACCATTATCACTTTTAGCATAGTCTACGGGGTATCAGCCTACCATAAATGCTAGATTGGCATTCATAACGAGGTAGATAATACCCTAGTCTACTACTCCAAACTACGGCCCGCGGGCCATATCCGGCCCACCACTGCCATCAATCCGAACCACGACAACTTTAGACTAAGCCTATGTTTGCATAGGTGCGCAAAAAAAATCTTATGGCCCTTGTAACATACCGAAAAAAATATTATGGCCCAAGGCTGCAAAGTTTGGAGACCCCTGCCCTAGTCAAATGAGACACTTTTTATAAGCTGTCAAAACGCGACTGAGTCTCATAGATTTTCAGGGCAATATGACGTCCTCAGTCGACGAATGTTTTGACTATGACTTAATTTCGTTGCTGGGTTCACTGACAGTTTAACTTTATCCTGGGATGAACTTGACCTTCATTGATCCTACTCAGGAGTTACAGCGGTGGGAACAGTCTCGTGAACTCAATTGATTGACTATTAATTGATTTCAAAACTGCAAAAAAAAAACAACTCTGTTTAAAACCTTTTTTATGTCACCCGGTACTCAAACATTTCTTATTCTACTTCCAGTTCAATCACCAAATTTATCTCATCCCTTCCACCTGCACGGAACGACATACAACGTCATCGGCATGGGCCGGTCGCCAGACAAGAACATAAAGAAGATCAATCTCAAGCACGCGTTGGACCTGGACCGAAAAGGCTTGCTGCACCGACAGTACAACCTCCCACCTTTCAAAGATACGCTCGCCGTGCCCAATAATGGATACGTCGTGTTGAGGCTAAAAGCTGACAATCCAGGTAAGAGACTTACTTTTTTTTTAATTTTATACGATTCTCAAGACTCTACCTATGGATTTGTCACACTGGATTCAGTCTGCGGTCAGATCAAAGTAAACGCAGCCCGCATCATGTTTTTTACTTTGACCTGGGCCTCAAGTCCGCTAATTTATATGACCGCAGACCGCTTCCAGTGTGACATGTATTGTCCTAGGGTTTATTCCACATTATTTGCCTAGAGGATAATTTAATAAGATCTTGATATTATTCAATTTTTTTAGCCAATGATCACACGACCGTTAACTATCCATTTCCGTTTTTGCTCTCGTTCTCATCAAATGGTGATTCTTTGCGATAAAACGAGACGACATGATCGGCAATGGGCAGTTAACATTGTTGCCGATAGTACAGTTGACAGCACTTAAGACTCTACGCAATTAATCAAATATTTTAAAAAAAACTTACAATTCGTAATTCAAAATTACGATCTCGAATAAACATTAATAAATTTATAACTAATGTTTTTTTTCTTATTTCAGGGTACTGGCTGTTCCACTGCCACTTCATCTACCACATAGTCATAGGCATGAATCTAATCCTGCACATAGGCACGCAACGGGACTTACCCCCCGTACCACCAAACTTCCCGCGATGCGGCAACCACCTACCTGAAATAACACCACCCCACTTTCCCATAGGACTCCATTGAAACCCCTTCATGATTATTCGGCGAAGTACCCACATCGCTTTGGTTTATTTGCAAACCAAATGAAGATTACGAACCTAGTTACAACGCAAATGCCATATTTTGAAGTATCATTGAAAATAAGACCATTGCCGGTCATATAACTTTAAGGTGCTGTTATATTACCCGTTGTATCTAATGTGTCTAACAACATGGTTCATAATTGCGTAGATTTTCCTCTGTATACTTGGTAGAGTGTACTTTCCTTGAGCTATGCGTAAGGAACGGCGAAGGATACCGGGGCAAAGCTATGGCCCGATAAGATTTTGTGTGCCGTCGGGTTTATGGAAATGACAATAATGAACAAAAAAGTCTTTAAGAGAATTATTGTGGTCAACAACTTAAATAAAGTAATTTTTAAATCAGAAAAATTAATTTTAAAGTAAGAACTTCTGGTCGATTAAAAGATTCGTCAGCTCCAAAATCCGTCGACATTAAAAATCTTGTCGCAAATTGAGAAAAAAGTGTCAATGATAAGTTATTATTGATTCATGGATTTGTTCATCGTTCCAAGTGAAATATGTATTGAAGTTCCTTTTAAAACCTTTATAATAAAAAAGGTTCAAAGTATTGGCATGCTTGAAGTACACTGAACAAACTTGTAGCAACCAAAACTATGTAGTTGGTGATTTTAGGGCCAATTTTTCAATCTCAAGATAATGGCGGTTAATTTATTTACATTGACAGTTGTAAAACTCGTATACAGGGTGAAATTGAAATCGTTGGCTTCCTTTTAAAATAAGATTTTAATACTCACCAAATGCACAAATAAACTTATAACACCCCTCTTTTTTTTTCGTCGGTCGACAATAATTTTTAACCTTATACAATAGTTTTACTCTTTATAAGAGTACACTTATAGAAATAAATAGTAAAAATAAAGACAAAAAGGATTTGTTTCATATTTGGGGAATATAAGAAAAAAAAATGCCAACAATTTCAATTTCACCCTGTATTAATCTCGCGATTGAAAAACGAACCTTAATTCAATGGCAAATGATGATTAAAGATGCCATTTGACAATAACTAAACTAAACGTTGTTACTATAATTAGTTGTATTTTTGTTATTCGTTTTATACTTGTGTAAATAAATTAGAATAAGTAGATGATGTGTGTGACGGTATAATGTTACAGGGATACACAAAATACAAATGAAATTGTATGCACTCATTGATCAATAAATCGATGTTTATTTAAATGTAGTTTTTAAGGGCTGGTTCGCTGCACTCAATGACTTTTTGGCGTATTGTAATGTAAAAAAAAGTTGCAATTATAAACCGATTTGAAAATATTGCATTTGGATAGAAGAATCAGCCTTTTACGGGCTATAAAGTATAATCCCTGTGTAATAGTAAAACGGTTTAAAAGCAGGTTCAAATATTAATCCACATAATCAATTGAACCCTAAAAACAGAAAAAAAATATTGCTGCATATTTGTAGCAGATAATATCCTTATCTTAGGAAGGACAGTTATTTAATATTTATTTCCACAGTATTTTATAAATTACCAAAATGTTTTTAAATGTACCTGGTCATTGTACCTACATTATAATTTTAATTTTCAATTATAATTTTTTTAACAATTTTTTAATTTTTTTATACAAAAATTTTAAATAAAAAATAATGTGACCTTTCATAAATGTTGTGCATTGGGTTGCTTGTGTACAATCTGAGTGGGTTAGTTTATTTATTTATTTTCATTTTTGTTCATTACAACCCAATTGTAAACAAAATGGTAATGTTTTTCGAACGTATGGAATTAGGTCTGTTTATTGCGATCTGACGTATCTGGGATATGAGTAACGAAAAAAATATACGCATTGATTGATAATCGAAAAAAACGATATAATTAACGATACAAAATAATTCGATCATATCGATTTTAAAAGATTTTATCGATTACTGTTTTAGGTAATGTATTCCTGTAATTTGCAATATTACTACCAAACATTAATTACCCATTTATGTTTTTAACAAAGTCATGCTGAATAAATGTGTCAAAAATACTTTTGTTTGATTTCTTAACACTGACATCACATACCTGCATACAATGTTTATTATTATTTGTATGATATTTTAATCAACGTTTTCATACAACACTAGGCTGCTGAGTTGCACTGCCAACTTTAACCGTAATGATAAACAATTTTTATTGTATTGAGTTTGACAGTCTTTTGACGTTTGTTAAAGTCAAAGTAAGATGGTGCAACCCAGCCTAAGGGCCTTACTAGCCTGAGATAGAGTCATTTCCAGGCACAGGGATTACAGGAGACGTAGGTATTTTCAAAGCATTAGAATTCTTTAAAATTAGCAATAAAATTACACAAAATGCAAATTCATAAGCTCGTAAAGCGCAGAAGGGAAAACAGGTCAACTCGAAAATAACTGTCAAATTTTACTTATTTCTGAAAACAATACTTACTATTGTTCTCACTTACACACGTGACCGCGTATTATTATTTATTATCTTGGCATAAAATAGCTTGGCCTACTCCAAAATTGTAAATAACCCGTATAAATAAGCGCAAAAGTATTTAGCGCAAAAATAATTTAAACGACCAATTACTAGGTGTTGCCAACCTTTTTTCATAATTATAAAAGACCCAGAATCTTCTATAGGTCATTAATTGTCTTTATTATGTAGGTTACATAGTAATTACATAGGAGACAGTAAGTTATGCTTCAAAAACGAGCTAGGACCATACATAAACACACCCTTTAAATTAACTTTAAAAAATGGCTTCTAAAATAAAATGGCTTCTTGAAAATTAGTAAGTTTTTAGTTTTCGTAAACATTCCTTACCTACATTTCTTACCTACAAACAAGTGCGTACATGTATTAGTAATTGTAGATTTACGCATACAATACAATGTTAGGTAGGTTTGAAAATAAGTATTTCATGAACTTTGAATCTTTTTCACATCTCAGAACACCTGAAAATATGTAAACAGATAACACCGTCTAGAAAAATGTTATAAAGGGGCTGCCCTTAACACAGCTGAACTTGTTTGGATATTTTTTTATTATGAACTTGTTAATAGTGACTTTTATCGCGTTGACTCTGACAAAATGTTCAGTGTTATCATTTGGTGAGTTAACTCTATTTAAATTGTCAGGCGTTCAAGGTGTTTTTACATAACACTAGGTTTTTTCTGTTTTGTTGAAATACCTATAGGATGCAAGAAAACATTTACATAATAAATTCAGAAACTAAATCAATTAGTTTTCATTTATAAATTATTTTCGGAAAATCAAACATTTGTGGAATAATTAGAAAAAAAAAGTTTTTACAAAATTCAGGCAAAAATTTTACATTTTTAATCGATTAGGGCCAGTTTTTTGATCCGTAGTAAAATGAATTTGGCAAACAATATTTTTTTAAAAACATGATCTCTACATTAGTTTAAAGTATGAAGGTCACTGTTAGATTTGATTTAGGTACTTAACTTTCCTCATGATATTTTTTAAGTCAAAAACATTGTAGCGCCCCGAACAACGTTCGCCAACTACTTGGACAACAAGCCTCACGGCCGCATTGTAGGCGGTCATGCTGCTAAGCCCCACAGCCACCCGTACATGGTATCACTTCAGCTGAGGTTCTTGTGGGTACGAGCCCACATGTGTGGCGGGACACTGCTTAATGAAAGATGGGTGAGTTGTGTTTTAAGTACAGATTCCATTAAGAGTGAGAGTAATATCAGATAAGAAGTTAAGGAAAGTTTTTCCAACAGAATAGCGTACCTACTACTTCTTAAAAGTTTAATTTCCTAATTACAATCCGAAAACCAAAATTAGTTCAATTGAATGGAAATGGAATTTATTTCTTTGCTACAGATAAGAATAGCAATAAAAATATTTAAGGCTAAAGAATAAAGTAAAGTATCATGAACCCTACCATGCAAAAGAAGTGTAGGTAATACGAATAGGACCACCCCTACTCTCCCCCTGTATGTATATCGTAAGAGATGACTAAGTGAGAAATATACTAAACATCAGGCCTCATCAGGCCAGCGTAGAAAGTTTAGGAAGGCCAAAACCTCCATTATCTCTTGGTAGGCTGTAGAGAGTATGTTCATACCGTGGATATTTAATGACCTGATGATGCTGATGTGTCCAGAATGTAACTTGTGCTCTAGGTGTTGACCGCAGGCCACTGCGTGTCCGACTCGTTGCTGATTCGATGGCTGAACATGGATGCCGTGGCCGGGGCACATGACGTCGACAACTTCGGCCCAGAAGTGCAGATTTCAACGATATCGTTGCGGATACCGCACCCTAATTATATCGGGTAATATTTTTATCGTTCACAGGTTAAAAGAGACTGATTAGAAAAACAATGCTGAGGTAAACCGTGATCTATTACTATTTCCATTTCGTGAACATGTATACTCTGTAGGTATCTAGTCTTTTATTCATGACGGGCAAATGTTAGTATGATGATGACTACGACTAGTATCCGAAGCCATTAACAGAATTTTTAAATGCCTATTTATTTTCTAAGGAAATTCAGGACAGCTAGCCGTCTATAACTATTAATACTGTTTGTATGTTCAAGACTATTTTTTTTATTTGCTGTGTGCCGTTCCATTACAGAGGTAGCAAAAGGTAGTTCAAATCTAATGTAAATAAATACCTGCTTTATTTAACCTACATCCTAAATGTCATCCCTATTTCAGAGGAATAGATAAAAACGACATTGCCATGCTCAGAACATCAACTCCGTTCCAAATAACCAGCGCAGTCAGGCCTATACGTCTGCCGTCTCCTTCTCTGGTGGTAGACAATGCTTCTCTGATGCTGCCAGGTTGGGGGAGCCTAAAGACGACGTTCTTTATCCCGGTCCTTCCAAGCCAATTACAGGAACTAAGTGTAACTTATGTGCCTTTTCAACGTAAGTAAATCTTAGGACATCAATTTATAATGAAATTATGATATTTTCACCTAAATTTATTATTACAAACTGAAAAAAAATTGTGTCGTTTTAGAAAACACGAAAATAGTAACTGCTTCTAGAAAATATGTAGTGATTTTTGAAGTCGATAACAGTGACATTATGAACGGTTTTTTAACCGTTCATTATTTTCATATGACTAAGGCTGGGTTGCATCATCTTACTTTAACTTTGACAAAAGTCAAAAATCTGTCAAACTCCATACCTACAAAAAACGCCGGTTATCGTCATAGTTACTATCAAAGTTAGGTGGTGCAACTCAGCCTAAATAATGTCCTTACAGAATTCTAAAGAAGACTATTTTTTGTATTTCTTACAGAATGCTACAAACAAATCATCGATTTCCTGGATCCTGATGAAATTAACCCGCTTGATGAAGATGTGCACATTTGTACCGGTCCACTAGGTGGCGGTAAGGCAGCTTGCAATGGGGACTCTGGTGGGCCATTGGTTCTTTTCCAAGACGATAAAGCTACTGGAGCTAATTCCACAGAAGTAGACGTACCTAATAATGGTGATAATGAAATAAAAACAAATGACAATCAAAAGAAAGAGGCAAAGCCTAGCTCAAAGGTTGAAATCAAACCAAAACAAGAATCAAGAGTACCCGTTTTGATTGGAGTAGTATCTTGGGGTATATCTCCTTGTGGCGAGAAAGGAGCACCGACCGTTTACACAAATGTGTCTCAATATATGGACTTCATAAACAGCTATATCAACTCGTGATCGAAAATAAAAGGCGTATTTCTTTTTATTTTTATAATAATAAATTACATTAGTTCAGTATTTACAGGTCTCTTTCATTTGGACTAACACATTGCATGGTTAATTTATAAAAAATTTCAAGTTAATTGATACGCTGCTTGGCTACGCATTTTGATTCAATCTAGTTTCTAAAACTTCGCCTTAGTTTTAAAATAGCAAAGTAAGAACAGGTTACAGTACAGTAACAGTCCTACCTAAGTACTTTATCACGGTTATTTTATTTCATAATCTTGAAAAGAAAGAGAGAATGGAACTACTTTTTGACGATTGACCTCATATAAAAGGGCCTCATTCTATACGAGATCAATATCTTACCATCATATTTAGATCGCCTTTTTAAATTATTATACCATCCCAAATACAATAAAAGCATTGTATTTACAGCCTGTATTAAAATCTTCTAACAAAAAATATCTACTAAGATAAACTGTTCACAGTTCGTCTTCTTTTGATAAATTCTTGTAACATTCTCTACACACTTACATTAATTTCTCGTCGTGTTATTTGACACTATCAGTCTCCAGTAAATTCTAATACTTAACCCTAAAATTAATTTGAGTATCATAATCATACATCAGCATGACTTTCAAGCAGTTCAGTTTTTAATTTAGAAGGACATCAGGAGGCCTGTAGTTCCCGCACTTCGCTAACGACTTGATGATGGATTTGGGCATCTTTTGGGGGACGTTGATGAGGACGGCCGTGGGCAGGGAAGACAAGGCACAAGCCCTGCACTCCAGGAGCCAGCTGCCGGCCTGGTCGGCTCGTATCCTGACGATTGTGTACCCTTTGTTGGGTACGACGAACGTGTCCTTGACTGGTGGGTTTCGAATGTTTCTGTGAAAATTAATAAAATATTTACTGCACACAACCGGTGTACTATCTTTAGCGTGATGTGAAGTTTCCCCACAATTTTTGTCACCTCCCATTACTACGACTACAATGGCATTCATAGAATGACAATTACAAGCTTTCTAACATGTCACTTACCTCACTACTTTTTGATCTTCCATCAATTTTTCGAAGTCTTCCCTTGAAATAGGTTTTCCATCAGGACTCTGCCATGTTGCAACGATCTGAGCACTCAGCCCATGCATGTGGAATGTATATGAGTCATTGCTGCCAAAACCTGGAACGTGTGAAAGAAATAAGTAAACATGGCTATTAATTATAGTGTCATTTCTGGCTTCTATAGTCCAAACCAGGTTAAGCTTGTCAACAAGAAGGTTTAGTAGGTATTCATTTCATATTCTAAAGACAATCTCAATAACAATGTCTTACGTATAAAGACAATGTAAGTACCAAAAGCTTTAACTGTCCACGGTATTATACAACACAACAGACGCAGTAACAAAAACACCATGTAACATTGATGAATGTTACAGTCAATTTTCTATTTATAGTACCTAAGCACATTTTAAGTGGAGGGAAACCTATTTGAATGGATTGTAGAAAAGTTTCTTTTCTTTTTTCTCAAGATGAATTCAATCAATCATTTCTTCTTCTTTTGTTTATGGCCAGGTGTGAAATCAGTCATTTATGAAAGGCAACAACGTGCTCAATAGTTTGAATGAGCACCTTTCATTTGTTTTACTATCAAATTGCTACTTAATTGACTTTAATCCCAGACATGTCTTGTCCAAACACTAACAAGACGAATATACCTACTACTACGAATATACTAAATAAACAATTCATATTTGTCAAATGAATTTTCATGTTTCATCATCATAATATTGCTCACATCACGTTCAATGTCTTAAGTTTAGTTTTCAATACTTGATAACGTTTGATACAAGCTTCTTACATAAAATCTGATGTTTCTTATTACGAATAGGTAGTCGCAGACCTAGACAAAAAGATTTGCAGCTAAATTAAGGAAACAAAAATGTAGGACGGCCCATCTGAAAGACAGTTACCGTCCAACCTTATGCAATTTATGGACCTTTCACTTTATCCATATGGAAAACCGATAAGAATTTAAGCTCAAAATATCAACGTGCAGTCATATTGCGTCTATTATGGTTTGCATCATAGTTTTATAACTTTTTGTTAGTAGCAAATACCATTAAGTGAACAAATAATTTGCAAATGAATTATTCAAATTTTCAAGCAAAGAGCAACCAAATGCAACGTATATAATGATAGAATAATAATAAAGACTTTACATTTTGAAATGCTCATAGCATCTTGCAGCTGTTAAATGATATCCTTGGCCATAGTTACTTTTATAACTTTTTGACGAAATAGGTAAGTACCTAATTATGTTACAAAACTACCCAAATTAAAGTTACGATTTACGCAATAGTAAAATGTCTTGTTCATGACAAAAATTGCGAAATGAAAATTAATAATCTCGTAAAACACACGCTTAACTGTCTCGTGGCCCGGTAAGCCAAGGCTAAGTTAGTGTTAATGATCGCTGTTTTATCCGTGTTATGATAATTTAAACTGTTCGTTCGTTCGTTTCAGCCGAAAGACGTCCACTGCTGGACAAAGGCCTCCCCAAGGATTTCCACGAAGACCGATCCTGCGCCGCTCGCATCCAGGCACCTCCCGCGACCTTCACTAGATCGTCGGTCCACCTAGTGGGAGGCCTGCCCACTGCATGCAAACTATGCTTCAATGATATACATTAAACTTCTAACAAAAGGAATGTTTTAGAAATAAACAATGTTCAAGAGGCGGAGGCATCAAATACATATCACCAACAAAATAACTAGTCATTGATGCCTTCGACTGCATTTGTGAACACAATTTATCTTGTTTCTATCATTTCTGATCATTTTTAAGCAGTTGGGTTTTTTGTTTTTTCTATGAGGATGCCTATTCAGTCAAATCAACAATAACACCTACTTATTGTTATTAATTTTGTTAAGAAAAAAGTATTTTGCAAATCACTTTATAACAGAGTTCTTTAAGGTAACTAATATAAAAAACATAAACTTAATTGACAAGCTCTTTCTATTCTTAGAAGTTAAAACATATGAAAGTAAAGGTAGAATAGCAATAGCTTTTTCATAAAAGAAACTAAATCCAGATCAACCCACCTTCGTTGACCAAAGCCAGCTCCAGCATTTCTCCTTCAGGCTCCATCGTCAGCACGCACTGTGGCTCCTGGTTCTTCGCCTCCTCTCCAACCTTGCAGGTGAAGTCAGCCTTCACATCCCGAGGGTACAGCAACATAGGAGAGTTCGGGTAAAGGAAGCTCTTGCTGTTGATCTGAACTACGCCACTTTCCTTTAGAGCTGGAAGGAAAATAATATTTATATTAGAAGTAGAAATGGTGATATTATTTATGTTAATTTGATATCGATTGACTTGTAAAACATCTATATCTATTCTCTATTATATAAAAGAAAGTCGTGTTAGTTACTTCGCTTATAACTCAAGAACGGCTGAACCGATTTAGCTGAAAATTGTCAGGGAGGTAGTTTAGAGCCAGGAGAAGGACATAGGATACTTTTTATCCCGTTCGAAATTAAAAATAAAGTCTGCTTATTTATTGCCATTAAGGCGGAACAAAGTTCGCCGGGTCAGCTATCCCGTTCGAAATTAAAAAAAAACTCTGCTTATTTATTGCCATTAAGGCGGAACAAAGTTCGCCGGGTCAGCTAGTAGCTAATAAATGTCACCAGTAACATAATGATGGGAGATCAATCGATGAAGTCACCAAAGTGAAAGTTACAGAGGTTAATTTAAATTTATTTCATTGAGATCTTTGAATTATGTATGAAATGCTAAACGTCCATAACCCTTTTTGGAAGTTTAACGATGAAAATCTGCTTAAAGAAAGTATTAGCTATTTGTAGAATGATGTTTTCGTAATATTATGATCATAAATGTGGATTCCTATAGGTATTATTGATTAGAAAGCAACTAATATATCAATGAAAAAAGGAAAGGACTTACTGAGTGAAGCAGGATAGAAAGGTTTCTTTGGTATCGCATCACTTATGTATCTAAAATCTACGTCGTTTTCCTTGAAATCCACGACGTTTTTATCAATTCCCAAATAAACAGTCTTGGGGTCAGGTCCCTCGGCGACATCTTGTAATGATTCCAACATTTGACCGGATACTGCTGACCAATCAGAATCTTGGGCAAATTCGTTCTGAAAAAAAAAAACAAAAGCTTTAACAAAACCGTGATAATTCCATTTTGTAACCTAGACTTGTGACGCGCCCCGCGACGCATCGACAGCCCTAGCACCGAACACGGAGATTTTGACAACCCTACGGCTGCGCGGCCGNGAGCTAGCTAAGACGCCCCGTTGCAGACTTATATGTATGTCGGATAAAACTTATAATAACGAGATGAGCTATTCGAAAGTTAAAAAAACAACCACACACAGGTGCAAAGTAAGAAAACAAGAATCAATTTATTTAAATCTTTAATGCCCAAAACAGAATATAAAAGGCGAATTGAATGCCATATTATTATGGCATTTTCTCTGAATCAATGTTTGAGACGAGCAGAAATTAGAGTACATTGTAAGCATCGTCCATTTGATTATGATAATGTCCTAATAGAAATTAATGGTCTATAAAAACACTATTGCACAAATTTTTAATACTCCTGCAAGTTAGTTATAGTTAGTAATATGACCTCATTGACATAATCTCATTGCAGAGCTTACAAAACACGGAATACATCGTCTAGACGTGCTGGCCCAAATGATGGTGATTAATCGTTAATATTTTTAACGTGGCAGGTAACTTGTACAGTACTTTATTGCAATAAAAGTCGACTACGTCTTCTCAAGCCACTTAGAGAACGGTTATCAGGAAAATAATCAAATAAGATAACCTAGCCTGGAGCGTATCTGCATCCAAGTGAATTAAATGGGTATTGAACCCGAAAATATATTATTCTCACGTCATTATCATTATTATGTTTTCATTCACAACTTGGAAGAAAACCTACACCTCCCAGAAATAGAGACTCCCACATTTTTCGCTCATTTTGCTCATTTGCCGAATGCTTCTCTTTCTTTACTTTAATCAAACTGTTAAAGTCGATTAAGAGTAGGCGCACAGAGTTGATTTTTAGTTGGCCGATAGTTGTGCCCGATTTTAATTTGTATGAAGAATCTGCCAAATCGAATCGGCGTAGTGTGCGCACTCCCATACATGCCCATACTGATCAACTGCCCGACTAAACTATCGGCCGACGAAAAATCAACGGTGTGCGCCTACTCTAAAGTAAAGAAACCTTATGTAGCAATTTATAGGCAAGTATATAATTAAAGAAAGAATAAAATAAATATGTATACAGATATTCCTGCATTTTACCTGTCCCTGTTGCAGCATAGACGTGTAGTTGAAGCCCGAGTAGATCAGCATCGCGTCTGCCACCAGTCCCGCGCACGCGCCGGTGCCGCGCGCTCTCACCCAATACCCTCCGGTCTCCTGCGACGCTCGCACCACCACGTCCATTCGCTCACCTGCAACGATCGGATGTATAATTATAAGAAGAATATAGTTCTTAGTTTTGTTTCTGTTTCAACTCAACTAACATAGTTTTTAAGTGCAATTGTTATTAACAAACTGAGTCCTAGTAACTTGAATAAAGAATCATTTATTATTTATTATTATTATTAGTGAGCACCTACGTTTTAAAAGGCAAAATTTGAGAGTCCTAGCGCTTGTAGTTTCTGAGATTTTGTGAGGAGTGAGTCAGTCAGTGACCTTTCGCTTTTATATAGTTAGATGACTCGAAATACCGCAATGTCGTCGGTCTGTCAGCAAAACGAAAAAATTTTGGAGCCAATTTTAATGTGTTGTTTACAAACATCAAACTTATTTAAATAATCACGCGGCTGAAGTCGGGGGCGACCAGTAAACATCAACAATTTGGTGGAAATTGGAAGAGATCATAAACACTCGTAAAATTTAATCGTTTTATTGTTACTTGCGAACCGCTTTAACTTTGCATATAAATGAAAACCAATCACTCCATCTTTTAGTCATGAACTTCCTACTTCTAATGATTTCCTAGATAAGCCTTTTATTGTTTTTAAAACTTTATAACCATACACATGAGAAGAGTACTTTTGTTAATTTCATGTAGGTCGCACTTTTTGTGACATTCAGCCTGTGTACTACTGGGGAAATTTTGTTTTTATGCAAACAAACTTTCGGATTGTTGGAAAACTGTTAATTATCATTCATGACGTTGCTACATTTAAAACTGGCTTAGGTCCGCGGCTTTGCCTACGTGGGTTTAGTTCTGAGACAAAAAAAAATGCCTGATAATGATGATCGATTTCATTCACAAAGCTAAGGATCACGAATCTTGGAATTTTGTCAGAGAAAGTAGAATGCATTTATCACACGGTCATCGACAAATAAAACAATATTTAGCAAAATGCCTAATCTCAATCAAATCAAAATCATCAGCAGCCTAGGTGTAAAATGTAACAACAAGACAGACAACTGAGTAACTTTCGCATATTTATAATATTACGTTGCAAAATGCTATGCACAAAGTCCTTCAGGCATTCAGCAAAACTGAAAGTAAAATCGCAATAACCTTTGTACTGACAAGAACGTTATTCCATCCTCTGCTAATGCACTCTTATAAATCGCATGCAATCAAAAAGTGATTAATATTTCCACTCTTATTTCCCAAGCCACAAAGGCTAGGTTAGCGTCAATGCTTTGCGGTTAAAATGTAGTTTATTGACCATGAGATAGAAAGTGAAATGGAAACAAACGAAACCTGTTCCATGGCTGACCTTAAACTCTTGGATCACAAGTTACACACCCATGTGAAAGCCTTTCTCCTCTCACTGGCGACGGATGTCGGCTAGCTGAATATAGCATTAGTTAATGGCCTAAAACACTGCCTTGCTGTACGCCAAGTTACGTTTTAGTAGAAAACGAAACCACTTTGTGATTTTCGGAGTATTGTACTTACTCGTAACAACAAAAGGTTAAAGGAAATGAAATATTAGCACTAGTCGATACTAATCGTTACCATTGAAGCTTGAAATTATTAATAGTCTTTAAAAATTTTGACAGCTTACATTATTCTTCTGACAGAAATTAATTACAATTTATTACGATGATATTAAATGCGCTTTTAATTTTATAGCATAGATAAGTAGTGAAATGCAACATGCAATTGCAATATTGTAAAAAAGGTTACTGTGTTAATTGAAACTAATCGCAATCCTTAAATGTCTACGATTAGACAATATTTAGTGATAATTAATCATAATAATTTAATTGTGGATGTGAGACTCGTACCTGTGTACATATTGTTAATGATCCTAACAGAACTTATACAATGGATAAAGTACATTAACTTCATTTTCAGTTAAAACCTTTTCGTGCACAATTAATGGAGAGAAAGGAGGATCGTTAATTTTCTGTCTTATTTATAGTTTCTTAAAATAATCTTCTCAAGCCATCAGATCGTAACTTGCGAATTTTATTGATAAACTTTATCCGTTTGACTTTAATTGGTAAGCTGTGAATAAAATTTTACTTTCTCCTACGATCGCTGGTCGGCGCGACAGATTGCTCACTCTCACTGACAGTGAAAAGTCATTTCTCACTTTTATTTTTGAATACACTACTTAAATTTAATGAGTCATGCCTTCACGACTTGCTACACATTACAAATGTTTGGCAGTCATTAAATAAAAATGCAACAGAAAGCCTGAAACTATGCACATTCTCAGTTGAATGTGCAAATTGCATAGTTCACGAAATATTTTTAAGTAGGTATAAAATAATTTCCTGTTACGCAAATAATACATTGTAGTTTGATTCGACTATGCTTTGCCTGTAGGTAGAAAAATTCTACATGCTGCAGTTTCATGTCTCATACAAAAACTTGTAATACCCCTCAATGTCAATCAGTATGTGGAGGCTACTATGCTTGGCGATGAGTTTTTACATTGATAGAAGTTACATTAAACGAACGTTATAGTGACGGTAGTGTTTAAAAAGAATCCAATTTCTTGTGCAATCTCTATGTTAAGATTAGCTCTATATTTTAGATAAGTATCAGATAAATGTGTCCAGTGGTTGAAGTTCATAGATATCCATCAATGTCTTGCTAGCCTATTTCTTACTCAATACCTAACTTGTCTAATGATACTACCTAACTAAATGCTAGACTGGACTTGCTCAAATCTTGTATAAAATATTTTATAATATGAAAATATTTAATGTTATTATCGAGTGTTTAATCTCTCTACTCGCGAAAGGTCATTGACTCACTAACTCACTCATCATGAAATCTCAGAAACTACAAGTGCTAGGAGTCTCAAATTTCGCATGGGGGTTCCTTTTAGAAAGTAGGTGCTCATTAAGATGGGATTTTGCAAAATTCAACCCCTAAGGGGGTAAATCGGAATCCAGGAGTACGAAGTCGCGGGCGGCCGCTAGTCATAAAATAAAATTGTCAGAAGGTTGTAAGATTTTTGTGCTTGCCCTTGTTAAGTCACTCAATACAAAATTACTGGAAAGTACCTTGATCGTGTTCAGTTAAATTAATCACTACATTCACACTTTCAAGTTAACTTTTACTAAAAGTACCTACCTACTGCAGAGCAAGTAAAATTTCAGTTTGAAAAGATTAATGTAGACAGTAAGGTGACTTTAATGATCTAAAATTTTTCTTTATTTCAACAGACTACTGGGTTCTTAATATTAATTAATCATCATCATTTACACTATAAATAAATAGGATCCTAATAGGCGTTTTTACACATCGTCAAATTGATGTCACATTAAAATTGTAACACATTAGAGAGAGAGTGATTAGGTGCCAACAGGAATATAATTCCTTCCACTTACCCGGATAAATCAGGACAGTCCTAGCAGCTGCAGGCTTGACAGACCTCCCATCGGTTGCTATGACGACCATCTCGTGTCTCTCAATCCTGACCAGCACCGGGCATTCGACCGCGATCGCGTTGATCAGGCGCAGCCTGTACGCAAACCCTTGCATAACGAATATTCTGCAACAAAAATTGTCGGTAAACACTATTAGAAACTTCGTAAGAGTAAAAAAATAACTTTCGGATGTAAGGAATGTTATGAAGACAATAAAAGAAAAGTCATACAAATAAGTTTAAAACAAGTTCCAGTGGATCGAAAACAAGTTATTGAGAACCGGATTTATTTAAACGCTCTAAACAAATGCACGAATCTTAAAATAAATAATTGTCGACAACATCACGAAAATTTGTCATTACGTAGAAAGATTATCATTATAAAAATAGGAAGATTAGAATAGAAAGCTAGGTTTCACTGATGATGTTGACGATTTCAGTCATGGCGACCATTTCAACCCCTAACTGTCTTGGCGCCGCTAAACGGCGATGAAAATAAATGATGATGTGAAATGAAGTGAATGAAAGGTGATCTTTGCCGCATACAGCCTCGCACATTATGGGCATCTGAGCACGCTGATTTCATAGTTAAAGTGTATGGCAGCTGATGGACTGATAAATTAAATCACAAGAGCATTCTTAATTGCCACACTTTTATAACTTCGTGTTATTCTTCCCCTTAGGTTGAACCATCAGACTTCCCTACTAAACTTTTTTAACAAAACACAAATAGAATCAACCATCAGTGTTAAGAATCTTCCGAAATATTGTCAATACTTGTCCAAACTTCCAAAGTTCATGATACTCATGCCCTTGGATGCCATCGTAAAGACAAGTTCAGACATCGCCAACAGTGTATGTTACTCATCATTACTAGTTCATTCATGGTCATTCCATTCTACTTGGCCTTGGTAGACCGTGCATGATTCGCATTGCACAAGACAACAATGAGTTTCTAAAAATAATGCCTTTGGTGCATTTGAGATATTTTTATTATCTTGCTGCAATAGCTGTTTATGCCCATAGCAATTTCGAATGCAACAGTAATCATGTTGATGATTGTGGTGCTTTCTTTTACTGTGCAAACGAAATGTCATTCTGAATAACTAATTTAACATTCAGCCAGTTAACTGCCTCTGTGGTTTAGCGGTTAGACTACTTTCTCAGACCCAGAGGTCCCAGGTTTGATTCCTACTCGGGGCAATGTTTCTACTCGGTTAGGATGGTGGTATGGTTTGTTCAAAGTTTGCCTGCCCACCATCTTACCTAAGTCTATCTCCATAATAACAATAGTAACAGGACTGTTGTGTTTCGGCAGATGGACGTAGACAAAAAGATAGCCATGATGCTTAATGTAACCGGAGCGGAATTGTGAAGATTAGCTTTCAGCAGTATTTCCATAGTCAGTCACCGTTTACTCAGTGCCTTCACTGTTTCAGATAATAACTGCAAATATCTGTCATAATGTTTGTTTAAAATTACATTAATTTGAGGCTAACAAGTCCAAATTATTACGGCCGGACGTATTTCGTAAGATCCAAGCATAAGTACATCTAATATTTTCGGCCAGTGTCACAAACCGTGCAATACTTAATAACACCCACTTTGGGTTTTCGTCATAACTGATGGTCAGCGCAGTGCGTTGCATTCGAGTGACCTCGAGGTGGATATTATCAGCTGAATAAAGTACAATTTCGTACATTATTATGCCTTAGTTTGCTTAATGTGCCTTGCTGTTTGAATGAATAGAAACGAATATTTTACTAAGGTATAGAAAAACAAAACTTAACTAGAAATATGGTTATGGTTCACTTGTTAGCATCGGTTGTCATTATACAACGCTGGTAAACTCCGAAAAGGAAACGAAAGAAAGAGGAGGAGGGCATCTTTCAGAGAAATTCCCTAAGATTGCAGCTTTCGAAATCTACAAAAAAAATCTGTGACTAGTTGTAATACCTAAGTAGCAATTTTAATATCTTTCATGTTTGTTGTTTGTATGTTTCTATCCCGTACAAAATGTTATTTTAGGTAAGTAAACTATCAATCTAGCCTGTTCTATCCTATGACATTCTATCTTAATAAAGTAATCAGTATTAATACTCACTTGAAGTTCCCTTCATCCCCATTTATGGTCATGGCATTCGGTTGCATCCCACTTGCATCCTCCAGATTCCCGGTCAGCAACTGCGGGAACACCGCAGCTATGAGGAGAGTGTTCTCCGTGCTTCGGTCATAGCCGTATAAGGAGGAATGAGGTTCCAAGGGTTGTGGTTGGTTCACTATCAACGACCCGTATACGCCGTCACTTTGGTGGGACACTGAAAAATACATGAATTTAGTCATAGTTCCTAGGTGGACCGACGATCTGGTGAAGGCTGCGGGAAGATCCTGGTTGCGTGTTGTAGATAATTATCCTTAGGGGAAGCCTTGTTCAGCAGTGGACGTCATTTGATGATGAGTCATTAGTTCGATTATGGTAAAAGCAACCGAATCAAATCCGGAACTTGTCGTTTGAGGGCATGCTATAACTTAAACCTTCACGACAATAAAGTGTTTGGAATTATTTTACGCTATTATGTCACGACAAAAGATTATCTGCGATTATATCACAGCATAACCAATGATACAGCAAAACTCCGATGAACGACTGGCTACACAAGTCAGGCCGGTGTATGTGGAAACTATTTAAGGTCAAGATTCCAGCAATGCCACTTTGTTTCACAACGCTAGTTATTAATTTCAAGTTCAATAGTAATTTACTTTATTTCATACACTTTAACAATCGCCTTTCAGACTAACTTATGTCGTACCAGTCCAATCAGGTATCAAGTATGTTAGGGATATATTAAGTCCGCTACAGAGCAATAAACACAGTGGTTGGTAGTAACATAATAAATATATTGGTATCAAAGCACACGTAGAATATTTACAATAGAGAGTTCGGCACAGCCATTACACAGCTAAAGACAACATCACATTTGAATATAAATGACAGTTCTATCATAGCGGTTCCAGCTAGCCAGCTCTACGTTATACAGCATGAAGGTGCTCATCAACACACCCCCTCAACTCATGCTTTATACAAGGCACTAGAGTACGCGCAACCCTAACCCTTTACTCAGCAAGTGATGCCTTATACGAGGCAAAGGTTTGGTGAAAATATCTGCCAGCATATTTTCAGTTGCCAAATGTTCTAAAGTTATCGACTTATTGTCACGCAGCACATCCCTTATAGCTTTAAGTTATTATGAGCATAGGTATTTGTTTGCGTTATGCGCATCATCCGCATTGTTTTTTTTTTGTATTTAACCAAAGAAAGATAATAAACTTACCTGAATCAGAATGATAGAAGAAGGTGCCCGGTGACGAAGCAATGAAGGCATATTTGTACGTGGCTCCGTAAGCTATCGGGCATTGAGTGACCATAGGCACTCCGTCCATATGCGGCGTTCCTCTCTGCTCTACCCCATGCCAGTGTATCGTCTCATCCTGATCAGGGATTTTGTTCTTGACTTCTACGACGATGACGTCATTCACGCAGACGTTGATCGCCGGGCCCGGTGACATCCCATTGATAGAAATGGCCGGCCTACCGCTTTCTTGTATGGTTGGCTCTATTACGAAACTGTAATAGCACCTCCGTGGTTTCACATTGAATTTGCAAGGACGGTGGCACGACTGGTCTGTAAAATTGTTTCTTTTTTTAGGTCTAGTTTTAAATATGGGCATTGGGCAATAAGTATTTTCGTGAATTCCAGATGACCAAAAAGTTCTGGCATTCAGTTTAACGTTACGAACAATATTACACTATTTACTTTAGAAAGGAGTTAAAATTGGACGCTAATTAAAGAAAGTGCTAAAATATTCTGTGATAATTACAATGTACTGTTAAAGTAAACAATTAGCGGCAAGTAGAGCGTTAGATCCATATTATTAACCTTGAATTAGACTAACAAACTCATTTTTCTCTCATGCCTATTCAGCAGAGAAATTAATGAAAGTAACATGCCGAATTTTGGCTTAAACTAATGTGAATGGTTTATAATTAAAGTTAATTGTATTCAAGAAAATTTCAATCCTACATCAGCCATAATAGGCTTTGAATAAGCTACACATGTTCATGGCTTTTCTGAGTAAGGTCCTTTTAATTTGAGCATCACAAATATAGTAAATAAACATTGTATGTATATGCAATAACAGTTGTTTTTATATACGAGTACTTAAGTACTATTACTATACTACTTAAGTACATCAATTGGTATTATACTGACTAGATTCGTACAACTGATTCCTTTTAACTGAGAAGTTGTTTCTAAATCGAGGTTAATGCTTTATTTATTTATTGATAACTTGTTCTTTATCATATTATTAAATAAGTCTTAGTCTAATTAAATACTTTACCTGAATTCTTCGTTGTATCTTCGAACAGAATACCGGAGCTTGTCGGCGTAAAGCTTTCGATGGAAGCTTTTCCATTGTTGCTAATATTTACTATTATCATTAAACAGCAAACCAGCAGCTTCATCTTGAGTGCATGCACTTTAAAATCCGTTTTGTAACAAAAAAATAAAAATATTGTGATTAAATTATTTCTATGTTATGGAAGATTCTTAATTAAGGAAGGTCTAAAAGTGACACATCGTATTCACACACAACACCGTCGCCTGCGCGAAACGTGCGCGAGAGCATCGGAGCCTCAAATGCAACTGACAAAATATGCGCAAAGGCACGGCGGCTGCCGAAGTCGGATCTATCTCCGATTTGGCTTATTACTCACTCACCACCTTCGCTAGATCCAATTAACTGTAACACTATATGGATTATTTTGCATTATTAAATATGGTTTCACACACGCGGAAAAGTGTGAATCGCCATTTTTTTGCTATATTATGTCTTTAAGAACAAAAGTACTTTGGCTTTGCAAACAAAGTTAACGTGAAGATTCTTAAAAACGCCCTAAAGTCCTTATAAATACGAAAATTGATAGATGCATTATTTTGTGATTCTTTTTGCAATTTCTCAAGTAAATGTAGACTTTCAAGAGAATAAATTCGTGGTCAACTAGTAGGTATTTTAAGTAATTAGATATCGCGGTGAATGCGTTTCCGATGTTGCTAATAATATGTACTATGAACATTAAAATTTTTCGTAATAACTGCCTCCCTAAAGTGTTACAAAGGTAAACCTCTTGTATTCTTATCTACTTTCTGTAATACCTTTAATGGTTTAAATAAACTTCTTATGGCATGTTAATTGAATTTCATAAGCGAAAAAAGATCTGAACAATGGTATTACCTGTTTAATTCTATTATTACGTAATCGTGCATTCGTGCCTTAAGAGGAGGTATTTCCTTCCGCTTTCCAACGTGTCTATAAAACCACATTAAGTAACTTTTAACGTAGCAATAAACTTTAGGGCTTCGCTTGGCATAGAAAATTGTCAAGACTGTATACAAACCAATATATACTAAGTTGTAATATTACTTTTTATTTCCACTAGATGGACCGACGATCTGGTAAAAGTCGCGGGAGAAGCCATGGATGCGGGCGGCGCAGGACCGATCGTTTTGGAAATCCTTGGGGGAGGCCTTTGTCCAGCAGTGGACGTCATTTGGCTGAAACGAAATATTATTTTTAAGAGGTAAAATTCAAGGGTGTAGAACGGAACAATGCAGGTTCTAAGTGCAAGCATCAGCAACCACTTTTGCAACTTCGTTCCGCACTCGCACTCTTTGTAGTGAGTATTTCACAACAAACGACACTAATTTGTATGTTAAGGTCGACATGAAATATTAGAACGTCGAGAATTAGACTGACAGCGTGTAAAATGTGAAAAGATAAATAGCAATGCATTTGAGATCATATTTCAAAGTAATGCACCTTAATAATTCTCACGTTGTTGTTCCATTAATTTATATTTCAACGAATGTCTTTTTAGATAGTATTCATTAATATTGCAAGTAATCAATCATTCTTCTTGTCTTAAACGGGAATTAGTAAATAAAACATATTATTGTGCTTTGTCTTTATTATCTATTCTCAAGTGAAGTGCATACCTATTGAAATTAAACTTTAACTACAGTGACAAACTTAAACATCGCCTGCAAGGTGGTGGCGAAAGTTGATATGTTCACTGGTATGATATCAGCAGCCAGAATTTCCACTGGTCTCTGGGCCTGTCTTAACATGAAATAAATAGCTTTCTTCTCCTTCACGTCGAAATTCTCCCAACCGCACGAATAAACGCACTGCTCAAAGTATTCCGCTGCATTTGTCAGTCTCTGGCATAAGAAGCAGTACAGAAAGAACACCAAGAAACAATAGACAACCACCGGCATAAATTGAAGCCATTCTTGAAGAGGCAGGTAAAAGAATAAAGACATGCAAACGGCATTCGACCCAAAATTTATGCCGATGGATCCACTGTATAAAGATTTCAACTTGTCAATGATGCTAAGAAGTATCACATGTCTCTTTATCAATTCATGCAGCATTGTTTTCGCAATGGGGTTATTGAAGTAAGTCTGCCGATCATAGTTGTTGAGAGTCATTATTTCTTCGGAAAGAAGCCGGTATAACAGAGCAGTGTACGCTATCAGAACCACGAGGAGGGCTTGGTAGTTTAGAACTACCGTCATGATTGAAATTTCTTGAATCAAAAGGAGAGCAGAGCAAATCTCTTTATTGGGTGATGCAGTCAAAGGCTCCATTCCTGAAAGAAAATATATTTTACAATAGATACCAAAGTAACATTACAGCATCAATAGACATCTTGGGACTTATTACAAATAGTTAAAACGTGCGTTGAACACTTTTTTAAATTGACATTTAATATGGAAATGTCACACGTGTTTTGTAATAACACCACATAATTATGATATCTTGAAGGAAAGTATTTTAAATTTCATCTCTACAATCTAAATGAGCTTTAACCTGTATCTGGCATAAATAAATATCAGAACTGAAATAACAAAATATCAACAGTACCTAGTACTCGTAAAAACTTAACCTACAAATCCTACCATAGCAAGGGGTCATGGAATAGCTGTTCTTCACGTCCATACGGTTGGGCAGGTACACAAACATGGCGTTCGTTAAATTGAAGCCGTAGAACATGTACAGGATCCTCTTGATCCGCTGCACCGCGCGCTTGTGCTTCCCGCGGAAGGCTTCGTTGGCGGTGGCCAGCGCGTCGCTCTGGCTGATCTCTAGCAAGATCGACTTCAGCAATGGGCTGCAAATATACAGGTTTATTTGGTACTCAGTGCCCAAATTAGGAGTAACTTAATCGATTTACGTAAAGAAAACAAACGTCGTCTCCTGCTGCTGTGTAAAGTCGACAACGAAATTGTATCTTTACGCCTCACAGTAGTCACAGTGCGCGTGGACGCACAGGGTGACACACAAACCAATCGCAGAGTTCTATTCAACGCTATGCGTTCGATTTGCTACTTCACTTAAGCAAGCATCGTTTGTGAATACGGGCGTTAGTCACAATAAAATAGGCGAAGATGTTCAATGCCTAAGTTCCTACGTCAAAAAACAAACATTGATTTGATGGATAAAAGAAGATCATTTAAAAGCGCAATCCCAACTAATCCCAACTAATATTATAAATGCGAAAGTAACTCTGTCTGTCTGTCTGTCTGTCTGTTACGCTTTCCCGCTTAAACCTCGCAACCGATTTTGATGAAATTTGGCATAGAGATAGTTTGAGTCCCGGGAAAGAACATAGGATAGTTTTTATCCCGGTTTTTGAAACAGGGACGCGCGCGATAAAGTTTTTCTGTGACAGACAAAATTCCACGCGGGCGAAGCCGCGGGCGGAAAGCTAGTTCCAACATAAATAAGCACAACACACTCATAAAGGTTGTAATATCTTACCGTTTCAGCAAGAACCAGTGGCTGTTGTTGGCGATCAGTATTAAGAGTGACACGTTGACGTAACACTTGATGAAGTCGCGGGCATCCCCTGCGTACTTCACCTGGTACACCGTGCAGCCCACGCCGTAGATGTAGAACAGGAGAGACAAGTGCAAGATCCAGAATGGAGCTAGAAAGTACATTTAGTTTTAGAAGACTGCTGCTGTTGAAGGTTAACCCTTGTTTTGTCTCCTGTCAGTAGCTTTGCACTGGAGGGAAGTCGAACCTAAACATGGAACTCCCTATGTTCTTCTGATTAAATTCGTTACGGGTCCAATGAAAGTTTAACCCCAAGGACAAACTTGACCTTCACTGGTTGGATTTTTTATTAGCGGTCAAGCTGTAGATCCTCGCTACGCAGGAGTTGCAGTGCTGGGAACGAGATTTCCGTTGCTGTTGAGGATTATCAAGCCAATAGCACGCACTCCTTTGATGGTACTTCCCAAATATTTTAAACATGATCCATAAAAGTTCGCTATCCTTGCTGCAGTTACCTACCTACTTAGAAAAGAGTAGCATCAGACAATGTTGTGACGCACATTAGATAATTTCTTTCGATGTGCTCTCTAAATCAAACCCTGATGTTAAAAGCATTGGCCCTCCGAATCTTGGATGAGACATACGAGTAGGTATCGAATACGATCAAATTATGACCTTTAACCCTTATCTTGGCATGACCAAAAATTCACTACGATTTAAAAAAAAATGATATTTATGAGTTAAGTATGATCCTAATAGGCCAATAAAAATGTTTAAAAAAATATATTGTTTTCAGTTTTTCATAAACCAGGTGTATCATATATGATACACTGCCAAGATTAGGGTATAGAAAATTAAAAAGCTAAAATATTCAAAAAATAACTTTGAATGAACAAAAACATACATAAATAATTTAAAAAGGTATTTTTTAAACTTCCTTGACAAAACGGAAACTCATGAGTGAAAAGAATATGCCAAATCCAATTATAGCAAATAATAATTACTCAGACTCTTGCTTTTTATACCTACTAATAATGATAAAAGTCATAAAATCGAATAACTTTTTACCACACATAAAAGTTGATTATATTTTGTGCATTTTATATTTAATCTGCCTATTTTTCTAGTTTTATATTTTCCACAAAAAGCGAAAATAGGCCAACATTGTCATACTTGAGGGCATCAGAAGGTAGGGTGGATGGAGTTTAATAGATTTTTATGAACTAATTGCACTCCACAAGCTTGTCCACTCTAATTACTGTATTTCCTACTAATGTAACACTAATATCTTTTAAAAATACGCATTTTTTCTTAAATTATGATTTAAAAATACATCACGAAGCACTTGGCAATGTAACATATATGATACACAGGCACATGGACGGTTATAAAATCGGCATGTAGCAATACACACCATCCAAACCAAACGAAAAACTCAGAGTAATCCTTCTTCTGTAAATTACATACAGAAAATAACACAAATATTTTGTGATATCGCCAATAAACAAATAAACTTACCACACGTTTGAAGCCAACATGCTTAGGTTATCCAATTTTGACAATAACTGACAGCCAAATGTATTTTTGTGTGAATAGTTTTTTTTATCTCATGCTATGATATATGAGGAACGTGTTAAGTATAAAATAAATTATTTCTAATGCTTTCGCTGCCTTCAGGATTTTTTAAATTAAGATGTATCACCCGTGTTACGATGCCAAGAAAAGGGTTAACCAAAATTGGAAGAAAGAAAGAAAAAACATTTATTTGGTACCAAAAAATTTAAACAATTGAGCCATCCATCTACCAGAGTAATAC